TAGAGGTGTACTACCATTGTATTTCAGTCGTTCCCAATCATTCTTATTCATCCAGGAACCAATTTACATGGGAGGGGTACGTGACTCATACAGTTGCAACATAGGATGCCCAGGCAGAGGACACAAGATGGAGGCTTGACATATAAAATGGAAACTTAACATGACTTTGGTTCACTTAGAAACACAGGCCTAAACCATACAATATCCATATGAAACAATAAAAATCAATACAAAAATGGTAATAATGCAATATACAACAGTAAGAATCAATACAAACCTAATAATAATACAATATAAAACAGTGGATATCCAAAACCAAAAACTTGCTACCAAAATAAAAATGTTAAAGCTTATCCTAAGTCTGAGCTCACTTATACTTATCTATAGGGAATAGAGAGGGAGAGAAAAAGTCAGAAATGGTTGGGGAAAGGGGAGGGAATGCATTTTAAAATAAATAAAAAAAGAAAAACGGTGGTTTTGCTACACCATCAGAGGCTGTTAATGAAGTTGGGCACTCCTGGAATTACAGGGAACATCCATTCACAGATTCGAAATAAGCTTAAATATAGAAAACAAAGATTGTGAGTATAAATGGTCAATTTTGGGGTTGGAAAATAGTAAATAGCAGGGTTCCTCAGGGATCTGTATTGGGATCAGTACTGTTTAACATATCCATAAATGATTTGGAAAAGGGGGTGAGTAGCAAGGTGGCCAATTTGCTGATCACACAAAATTCTTCACAGTGGTAAAGATCATGGTGGACTGCAAGGAACTACAGAAGAATCAGGCACTATTGAGTGAATGGGCAACTAAATGGTAGAAGAAATTCAGTGTAGATAAGTGTAAATTGCTGAACATAGTCAGAAATAATGCAAACTTAAACCTAGACTGTGAAGGTGTCATATTAGCTGTTATAATTCAGGAAAGAGATCTGGGAGTTATTGTGCACTTATGGTCTGACCCAGTAAATGTCAGCTCTTATGTTCTATCATTTAATATTTCCCTACCATTTAACCACTAGATTTTGGAATGACATCATGTTCGTTAAGTTTTTGATTTTTTAGGATCTAATTTTGTTTTCTTTCCTGTCACTGAGTCAATGCTACTTCCTAGTGAGAAGTCTAACAAATCGCCTATTCACCATTTTAACTCTCAAGCTTTCAAAAGTGGGTCTGTAAGTACGGAAGAAATATGGTTCATGGGTAGAAGTTTTCTAGAAATATGGGTTCAATTCCCTCCTGGAACTTTGGGCCAGCTACTTTTACTACACTAGAAGGACTTGACCTACGTGGTAATATTGGTACTCTGTGCTGTCAAATCTTGCTTGGTGCAGATGCAGCAAAGATTGCAAAGCTGTATCTTATAATAGTAGAGTAAAGTCACTCTGAGTGATGTAAATTGCATTGCTGTGGAAGTATATTCTGCTACACGAACTGGATACACTACAGGTAGCAGTGAATGATAGAGACGAGAGGACCAACTTGAGCACCAGAAATTGCCAAGCAGTAGATACATGGAGTTCTGCCTGGGCTAATTTAGCTGGCTTCTTCCTTAAAGCCAGTTCAGTAATGTTTTGACTACATTGTAGATTGTACTGTAGACCTATCTAGTATGTCTCTAGTAGAGGCTTCTGCAAGTAGAGATCAATTTGAGATCACCTCTGTCCATGCCCTTGATCAATATAGGGTGCTGACAGACATGCAGCTCCCTTCTGTAAGTCATGGTGCTTTGCAGGAAGTACCATTAGTTACAGCATTCCCCCCCACCCAACAGACATTTGCTTTTGGGTCTGGCGGGTTAAGGGATCGAGTTCCACTTTGGACTGAGCTGCATGTCTGCAGCCACTCTCCCTTAGCCCCTACTCCTCCAGCTGTGGTGCTACCTTCAGTATGGGAGCGGGGGGCAGGGAGGGGAGGGGAGGGGAGCTCTGTCTGGGGTTTGCACTTTTAAAGTGCTCTGCAGCTGTGCACTTCTGTTAGGGCATGGCTGTATAGTTCCTTCAAGAGGCTGATCTTGCAATAAATGTAACTTCTGTCTGCTCCCATAATAGTTATGCCAGCAAGAAACTGAAATGCAGAACAGACCTAAGACTGTCTCTGTCAGCCCCGTGTCAAACAGAGCTAACAATAATCTCCTACCTCACAGTTTGTTGTGGAGATAAATAAACTGAAGCTGAAGGGTAACTCGGATCATATAGTAACAGCAGCATAAAGTGACATAGAGTTATTTAAGTAAAGAGCTGCACTAAAATACCACAGATGGAGATCTAGCCTTGAGTCAATCAGTAGATTCAGGTACAAGAAATATTACCCTTTTTGCTACATTGCATCTAAAGCTCTGTGTGCATTGAAGTATTAGCTGGAAATATGAAATATTGAGTTTAATCATCTTATTTGACCAGGATCATCATAAAACAGCTCTCTTGTATTATGTAAAACAGTTAAAATATATATTCAGTAACTGTCATATATTAGTTGGCAAAGTTTTTCATTCAGCTTAACTAGCAAAAATGAAAAAAAGATATAAAGAATAAAATGAATTAGTTCCTTGATTCTTAACATCAAAGTAAATGTTAAATCCACATATGCATATGTAAATCTGAGAATAATTTAGCTAGCTCATCTCAAATTTTAAAATGCTATTGCCAGCCTTTTTAAAGAAATGAAATGTTATTGATTTACAC